CCCAAAAAAAAATCAGTTACCTCTTTTTGGGGTGTTTGTAATCTTTCAAAAATATTTTTTCAAACAAATTTCAGATTTCTGATTCATTATTAAAATGTTGAATTCTGCTAAAGCAAACTTAGTTTTTTTGTTTGTTTGTTTTTTTTTTTTTTTTAATGCCAAAGTTGGAAAACCAAAAGGCTTTTTTTTTTCAAGCGGATATTTGGTGGGGAGAAAAACTCATCAACTTAGATGAATAATGTCACATTTTGAGATCAAAGTTACAATCTTATCGAAAGGATTTTTCATTCAAGAATTTAAAAATATAAATACTGTCGACAAGAATGAATCGGTATCCTTTTGAAAGGACTTTTTTTTTTCTCCCAAAGTAAAGCCATATAATTTCTTTTCAACCCAAAATATTTCATTTTAGATAAAACGTCCAATTTTGAGACTAAGTCGCAATCTTCTCGAGTCATTGTGGTTGCGACGCCCTCTTGTCAGGTTCTGCAACGAAGGCGTCTCGTGTCCCCAGCCGGTCCTCTGGTCCCCGTGGGGCTCATGGACCAAGTGCAGCAGCGAGTGCAGCGGAGGGGTGCACTCGCGGGTACGCACCTGCGAGAATGGCAACAGCTGCCCGGGATGCGCCCTGGTAAGCGGCATTTCGCCAGGAAATCGGACGCCGATGAGGCTTTTACTTTGGTAAACAAGCATTGGAAGTTTGCCCCTTTTCCAGGAGTACAAGGCGTGTAACCTGGAGGCATGTCCGGAGGTGAAGCGGAACACGCCGTGGACGCCGTGGATGCCGGTCAACGTGACGCAGGGCGGCGCGCGTCAGGAGCAGCGCACCCGCTACATGTGCCGCGCTCGCCTGGCCGACCCGCATCAGCTGCAGATGGGGCGGCGCAAGCTGGAGACCCGATACTGCCCCAACGACGGCACCGCCGCCTGTGACACCGACGGCAAGTGCTCTTTGAATTTTATTTTCCCCACACGTTTTGTAAAAATAATAATAAATAAAAAATAAAAACCCTTAAAAATGTTTTAATCATTAATGATGGCTGACAAGCAGTTGAGGGTGTACCCCGCCTGTTTCCCGAAGACAGCTGGGCTAGGCCCCAGTTTGAAAGTGTGTCCTCCAATTAGAGCATCACGGGAACTTAAAATCAGTCAGTCGGCCTTTTTAAAGGGTGACAAGTAACCAGTGTGCCTCTTTGTTGACATGGTGTGTACCACACTAAACATGGACCAGAGAAAGCAAAGGCGTGAGTTGTCTAATGATCCAATCCAATCTAATAACGTGTAGCTTCACAATTTCAATGCTACATTGTTGCGCCTTTTCCACAAATTGTTCTCTTCGGGCTCCTGATTGCCCAACATACAGTTTGAGGTGTTAGCGCCACCTACTGGATCTGGAAATTTAGATTAGCAAAGGTGTGGATTGATATGTCACAACTTTCCTTTTTTTTTTTTTTTTTCCTGTCGGCAACGACCCCTTTTCGAACCAAGATGTAAAAATAATAATCATGAAATGAATAACCATAAGGAGGTTCTGCTTGAAGGATTCATGATGTTCAAAAAAACCCCCAAAAAAACATTAAGGAGGCGTTTGTTGACGGATTGACGATGGTTGCTTTACTTTGACCGAGCGTTTTTCTCGTGGCAATATTTCTTCTGCTGTCAAGACAAATGTTATTTTACAGCCCAGCTCTGTTCACGACCCCCCTTCAAGCATCCATCAGTAGACGCCTGCCCTCAAAAGCACATTCCACTTTACACAACTCTCTTGCAGGGTCAGCACTGGCTTCCAGTGTCTTACTCCTTACCTACTGGACCCCGTATGTGGCTACATAGGACTACTGCATTCAGGACTAGTCCAGTAGGGACTACCTTGTTGGCGCTAGACGGGCATTTGATTGCCATGTTGTTTCGTGTGGTCCCAAACTCTGTAGGATCATATTTTTTGTCGTCAAAACAAGAACTCAATTGATTCAGTTTTTGTCTATAGACCTAGTGGAGGAGCTGCTTCGGACCCCGCTGGTCCGAGGGGCGGGCGGCCCCGGCTGGTCTTCGTGGGACTCCTGGTCCGGGTGTTCGCAGAGCTGCTCCAAAGGATACCGCACCCGACGAAGATCCTGCGCCGGACCGGAGGGCAAGAGCGCCCCCGTGGCCTGCAGAGGTTCCCCTGTGGAGTACCAGGACTGCAACGTCCAGGCCTGTCCCGGTAAGATGAACATGTGTGCCGGGTTCGGTGTCAATTAGAATACTTGGTGCCGGATGCTCATGTTTTGCCAAACTCTTTTTGTGGTGGCGCACTAGAAACGGCCTGAAAAATGGTCTGCTTGAAACCAAAATGGCTGCTTAGTGATGATTTTTGAGCGCTCTGTCATGATGAGCATGCATGGCATTTTGTTCATCGGACTCTCGGGTGCTGGATGCGATACTTTCAACCCCTCATTTGAGTGTTGGCCACTCGAAAGGGCCTGACAAACTGTCGGCTTCAAAATAAAATGGCTGCCTTTCTGTGCATTTCACAGCATAGGTTCTATGATGATTTTTTTTTTTTTGTGCCTATCATCATGATAAACACGCCTGCCAAATTTCATATAAATCGGACACTTTGGTGCCGGATGCTAATATTATCCAGTGGTGATTTTATGATCCAAATTCCCCCAACTTGGCTGCCTGTTTGCGTTTGCAATTCACAGCATAGTTTTTACTTTCCATCATGCCTTGCCCTGCATCTTGTCATGATGGACACGTGTGCCGAATTTCATCATCCCTCGGACATCCTGGTGCTGGTTCATAATATTTTCTTCCATTCAGGCTTTGGTGAGAAAATCTCTGCTACGTGTCCTCGAGTGCCTCCCGCCAAGTGGCTTGGGGGGGGTTCCAATCATTGCGTCTCTTGAAATGAGCATCACGTGCACGGCCCGCGTGTACGTGCGCTCCACAGTCCACACACTCATCGGCCAAGGACAGGGCCAGTGACAAAAGAGAGAATGCCTGCAAAAGTGTAATTGATGATGAGATTAGCGGGAAGGATGAAGCCAATATAGATTAGTTCGGTGCGAGCGCGTGTGCGCAAAAAGGGGGCCGTAAATCACAGCCTTCAGACCGCGATTGCAACCTTTCCTCGGAAGTTCGCCGTGAAGAGCTCTCACTCTGACCTAAAAACGCTGCATGACGTTGTTTGAGTTACTTTTAGCGAGGTCGCTGTTGTACGCACGCCTTCGGGGGTGATCATAATTGTATTGCTGAACTCATGTGTACTACTTGATGTGGTGTGCAGCAATTGTCTCTGAACGTCGAAGGGGGTGCGTGACCTAAAAAGTTCAAGCAGGTGGGCTGGTCTCGATGTACCCCAAAAACGTTGTTGACGTGGTGACGCCGTGTGTTTGCAGTGAAGGGGGCGTGGTCGTGTTGGTCGTCGTGGTCGCAGTGTTCGGCGGCGTGCGGCGGCGGCCACTACCAGCGCACCCGAGCGTGCGGCAGCCCGCCGCCGACCGGCGGGGGCGACATCTGCCTGGGGCTGCACACCGAGGAGGCGCTCTGCAACACGCACACGTGCGACGGTGAGGACCAGCGCAGCGGGAGTTGTTTCTTTGGGGGTTTGTTTGTTCTTATGAGGACATTTTCCTTTTTGGTCTTTAAGGTGACCTTTTTTTTTTTCCTATTTTCTTCTTCTTTCGGAATGGGTATATATATTTTTTTTTTCAGACATTTTCCTCATGGGATGTGGACATGGACGTTTTTTGGAATATTTTTCTCTTCAGGCTGATATTTTATATTTTCTGTGTGTTCGTGTGTCTTCCTTCTCAACACATTCGAAGCCCAGACACCTCGTGCTCAAATTGCCCCGTTGTCTCCCGTCAGGCGCCATTTCACCCCCACCCCCCGCCCCCCATGTGCTTTTCAATTGGTATTATTCCAAATGCCAATCAGGACACACACACTCCTCCCGCCTCCTGCGTAATTACTAACCGTAGGGGGGGGGTAAATGACTTCCTGTCATTTCTCCTGCCTGCGCCGAGATGCTAATCGCCCCCATTTGATCGGCTTTTCCCTCTCTGGCGTCCTGTCAATCGACTGTTGGCTACATGGACGAGCACGCTACAGTGACCATTTGCTAATCGGCCATCAGGTGTCTGTGCCTGTCACTCAAGCCGATGATTAAACTGTAATGAAGGGCGGCAGGAGGAATGGGTGGTCCACTGTAGTGACTGAGGCGCAACCTTGACATCAGTGCACAAAGGAGATTTTTTTTTTCCATACATCGTTGTTATCGATGCACAACTGACATCTAGGGCTGTATTTTCGTGACCGGCCGGCGCAAGTCTAGTGCGAAGTGCTGTCTAAATCTGCGCGGAGTCGGGTGACACTGGGTTTTGCTAATTTTTGCAGATGCGCGCAAGCCACCGTATTTAAAAAGGAGGTGTTTGCGCCGTTGTGGGTGTGAGCTCCGCCAATCATTCCCTTGAAATGATCACAACATAAACGTCAAGACTAATAAGTAGCTGTGCACTCGGCATGACGGTGCAGTCTTTTGTGTGTGTGTCTAGATGCATGTTGGGCCCCAAGGGAGCAGATGGAGGTGCAGGCTGACAGTGGAGGTAAACGTGTCCTCCGACCTGCTTCTGCTCATTCCCCCAAAAAAGCAAAGCGTTTTTTTATTTGATTTCAGCGCGGTGGGAGCTTTCCTCTTTTTTTACCCCCTCTCGGGTCAGAGGTTTTGTTTTCCGCCTTCTCGTCATCTCCAGTGTGCACTGAACACACTTGTTGACATCACAAACGCTTGTCCTGTGGCTGGTGGCTTCATTGTAGGGTTTTTTTTTCTTTTTCGACCGGTGGTGGCGCAATTCGGGTTTGTTCTTGGCAGTAATATCGTTTGTGCGCAGGTGGCTGGATGGCCTGGTCGCTGTGGTCGGCCTGCGACGACTCGGGGGTGCAGATGAGGACCCGAACGTGCGGGGCCGCCGGCGGCGCCCCCTGCATCGGCAACACCACCCAGCGGAGGGACTGCAACGAAATACCCGGTGAGTCTGCAACATCTCTTCAGTTTGAGACTTGGGTCCTTCTTCGGAATCAAAAATACATCGAGATTGTTTTTCTCACACGATGGCTTTCAATTTGAATGCCTGTTTTTTTTTTTTGTTTTGTTTTTTTTGCAGTAGTAAATCCACCCTGACCCCGGTTCCGGCATTGAAATTTGATTTTGTGGGGTTTACAATTGGGGTAAGGTTTAATGAGAAGGGTTCATGATTCCTTGTAGGTTTTTGGGTTAATAGTGTTCGTGACGAGCAGTGATGGTTGGTTCCAAGGGTTTGGGTTAGGGTTCGTTAGGGGGATCCTCGTTAGGAAAGGTCGGATTAGGTTTGAATGAGGTTTAGGTTTCGTGGTTGGGATTTGTTGGGGTGCAGTTTAGGGATTAGGGATATTCGGGTGTGTGGGTTCATTTCCGCGATTTAGGTTCGAATTAGTAGGGTGAGAGTCAAGAGGAAGCGTCAGTTTTTACAGTCCGTAGGGTGGAGATTCAGATGAGTAGCGTTTCGGACACATGTGTCAAAGTCAAGACCCGGTGGGGCCAGATCGTGTCCGCCACATCATTTTATGTGGTCCCCAAAAGCAATTCAAGCATGTCAACTTCCATGATGCTCGCTAAAGTCTGAAACCCAAATTCCAGATTGTCATTTGTAATCATTACAATTTTTGAACAATCCATGATTCTTGACTTCTGATGTCAGAACTAGTTCTCCATCAATTTGTTGTTCGCTGCGTATGGAATATGTGTAAAATTGGCATTGTCAGGGTAAGGTTTGGGAGTAAGGAGCGTTCGGAAATGGAGAAGATGGAAGCTAAACGAAAACAGGAAGTGATGCACTATTCGGGTTTGTTGAACGTTCGCTCCCAACACTCTCTCACACAACGCATACATTCACTCGACATTCATCAGGTTGACCCGACTTAACCTCTTTAAGAGGTTGGAATCTTTCCTGAGCTCATAGTTTTGCTTTTTTTTCAATTTTATTTTGAATCTGTTGTAAGGACAAGGCGCACCACCAAACAAGTTGTGTCTTTGTTGTTTTGTCTGCGTGGATCAAGCAACTTCAATGCCATCGCCATTGCATGTGTGTTCCCAC